TATGCGAGGCTTGAAGAGTTATTATATTTCTAGCCTACTGGGTAACTTGTTTTTGGCACCAATGGTTTATAGCACTTCCAAGAGCACTAGCTAATGCCAAATTATATAGCCCCCGATTTCCATGGGTGATGTGTTTCATCTTTGTGCAGATTGATGGGGTATTCCCATCTTGTTAGCTACACATCTGGCCTCCCTTCAGAATTCCTCCAATCATTTGATTTCTGCCTCATCAATCCGAAGTCTACTTATCAGTGTGGCATCTCCACATTTTGGAGAGATGCATGGGGAGAGCGAGGACGATGGATGCATTGCAGTTTAGTCGGTAGAAATGATAGTCCAGCTAATGGAGATGACAGTGGTCACATAAAAGGACCACTGTCGAGTTTCTCCCCTACCACAAGAAGTACAGCGATGGTAATCTATCCTCAATCCACCGGTCGTTTCTTCAGGGCGGTTCAGGGCTTGCCACAGCGCACGAGGTTCTTTCACCCTGATTTCAACATGTGCTCGAAACACTGTCACCTTTTCCACCATCACAACACGCTGCCGCTGTCTATGGTGCGAATCTGATTCACTCGGCTCGGGTACTCGAGTAGACAAACGACCGTTGCCCACTAAACTAATCTGATGATCTGATGCTCGAGCTGCTGGCTGGCTACCGCAGTCTGATCCGTTGGGTTGGACAAACCGGCGGAGCAGGTTTCTGCTCTGCGCAGTCAGTTGACAAGAGCGTTCACCTGCTCCAGCCAACTGTTCCCACGATCGTCAGTGACCGGACGAACGGGATTGGTCAACCTGTTCCAGAGTTTGGGTTACGGGTGTCCACCTGTTGCTGAAAACTCCACAATGCCTTGTGCAGTAGATTGATAGTTGACCAGGGTTAATTCGCATCTTGCGCAGCTGTGATGAGTAACCAGGGTTGACGACGGGTTGGGTCAAGTGTTGGGTTGTGTCAGTGTGTTGCATAGTTAGTCACTGGTTTTTCGTGGACTCTTAACGTCATCACTTTCAACAATGCCTTGTGCACCAGATTGACTGTTAACCCGGGTTAATCCGATTCTTGCGCATCTTTGATGTATTCATTTATGCAAGCAGTCATCCAACAACATCAATCTTCACAAGTCACTGAAGCCAAGAGTTTCTTATGAACTGGTAATCAAGGTCTTGACGAAAAGATAGCCTCAATTTAATGTGGAGAAGGAACGAATCTAGATGCTGACGTGAAAACGAGTATCATCTTAGGGGAAAAAAGACACAATGGAAGGAACAAAAATGCTCGCCAAACACGATTTGGACGAAACGGCTTTCAACAAAGATGTGAGATAAAAGTATCTATGAAAAGAACCTGTCTGTTCATTGACAATATGAAGATGACCAACTCACAATAAGAAAAACAATTATAATCAGTGACTGTATAAAAGAGAGAGAGTTACAGTGTAAGAAGTTCATCCTGTTCCAATATAAGCAGTTGCAATCAACAAAAGAAATGTGAACCTCGCGGTGAAAAAGTCTTATGGTTCGAAACCTGAGAAGAAGAAAAGGAATATAAAAACAAAAATTGGCTGAAAAACTAAGGCAGGCATGCAGAACAAGAAACTACGAAGCAACTCGAAAATTTGTTATGAATGGAGCAGGCCTTAGACTTGAGATCTTTCGAACAAGGCTAGAACACAGATGTGCTACTAGACAGCGAGTGAAGAGATCAAAAGAAAATCTTTCGAAGGTCACAAGACCTTCGCAAAGCCTCGACATGGATTCACTCATGCCCAATCGATGTCCAATCAAGTGGTTTCCGTCACGTCACTTGGAAACACTTGAGAAATGAAGTGAGAGCAATAAAAAAGGAAACGGAGACGTGATCGACGGAAAAGATTATGATCTGCATGGAGACCGTGTTATGGTTTGTCTGGAAGCGAGCGACTTCTCGTATAGTTGTACTGGGCATATTTCCTTCGGAGGCCACCTCCGGCTGTGGACAAAGTCATATGCAGTGGCATCACTTCCTCGTCAGCCATGTGGATTACCTTTGGGGCAGCACATGCTGGGCCTCCATCTTGTCATTCTGTTGCACAAGGTTTCTTACATCGATGGCTACCAAGTATTCTCGAAAAAAGGATGGGAGGACCCATTAATATAGTTCATTTATGTAATTGGAGTGGTAGGAATAGGCCAGGCCGAGACTGCATTAGAATGGGAATATGTAATATTGCATCTATGTTGCATAGACATTGCTCTCTATGTACAGCAATGGATCTATGCTGTCTAAAGTACATGCTGCCCAAGAAAATAATACCCCTTACATTCAAAATCTAATACATTAATCACATACCATCTTTGCTAGACACGTTTACTTCACTCTCTGGCCTTCTTTTCTCCCCTTAGTGACTGCCCTCCACTTTTCTCTACGTCATGGTGTTGTCCCGTTTTAATGTGTTTGTTCGAAGGCAGTGCTGCTGGACTGTCCATTTATCGTCCCAAGATGTAGTCCATGATGTTTGTCTCACATGTCCTGGCTTGAAGTACGAACCATGATAGGAAACAGCCAGCTTCGTATCCTTCTTCGTGTCCATGCATTGAGCTCGTGCCAGTAGGAGAGATACACCACTTTCATCATGATTGTCCACGACTCAGTTTTACATGCCGAAGCTCAAATTCTTCGTAGAATATTGAAGAGGTTACATCAGCACTCATCATGTGCATAAGCCTATATTCCAACCACGCGTGAGGTCGTCGTCTTAGCTACATACAAGAGCCTAAATATCATGTCACTTATAACTCCTGGATCCTGTAAAGTAGTCTAAATCCTGGACTAGACAAATCCTCCACAAGCCCTGTCAACGTTGTCTGTGATAAAGGTTCAGGTTTCTGATCAGATCTGAATAGTGCCGCTAGACTCTCAAGAAGTCTCTGCGACAAAAGATAAAAAAAGAGTCTGCAATTCCATACGTGAGAGGAAATCTGCAGCGCAGAAAGCCTGCACAGCACAAGATTCTTTCTTGGTTTAGGATCCACGCCCGTGAACGGGGGAGGGGGGGGGGGGGGGGGGGGGGTTGTTGAAGTGATCGAAGGAAACCTCGTCCATCATCGTCTAGTCTAAAGGAGGAAATCAACAAACACGAAAGATTTCCTCACATATTGCACAGCAGCTGGATTAGTAAAGCTGCTGAGAATACTTTCACAAAAGTGCTCGAGAGGTTATCATGCGACTGCCAAGCCAGTCTTTTAACCCCACTTGTCATGTGGTCGAAGTTTCTGGAATCATGCATTTGTCAGTTGGAAGCGAATTCCTTGCCCTGGTACAGAAGACTGTGTTGGCCTGCACACAAACCTTTTAGCAGGCTAGATGGAGCACCAGCATGTTCATTCATCAGACACACTCTGTCGCTTCTGATGGTTTGAAATGCACTGTAAGTAATCAAATATCCAGAGCCGATCCACTTTCCGAAATTCTGATCTTCTGCAGCAGCTGTTGCCAACACTTCAAAGCTGCTTCCGAATTTTCTGTGTATTTTACTTCCCAGTCGTGGAGGTTTTGTGGGGCAGTCGTTAAACGAGACCATGGAAATCCTGTGGGCCACCACTCTACAAACACAATTTTTGATCTATTCCGGACACGAGAACAGTAATTTGGAACCATGACCAGGTAAAATCGAATGTTGTTGATTCTGTGTACAGCAGAGGTGGAGGTAGTGTTCTTGTAAAGTACTAAGAGCAGTAAACTGGCTATGCTAAACGATGCAGTCAGTCAACTAAGCTAGCAAGGGTTTCGCCATGATGTAGCCACAAAAGTCATTACACATTTGACACCCGTGAGCATATATCATCTCCCAAAAACCTCAACCAACCGTCCACTAAGCCGTAGAGAGACATTCCTCAACGTTCTGGACCTGCAACTGACCGGCAGATCAGCTTCCTGGTTATCGAGTAGACTACTACTTGTATGGCACAGCTCCTCGCAAGAATTCTTGCTGTCGTTGGCACCCAGTACTGATTGAATGATTGAGGTGTAGGAGAACTGGGTGCTGGTCGCACTGTTCCCCACACCCTTAGCTCCAAAAGATCTTGTAACCTTCTCGAAGTCTAGCTCTCCCATGAAGCAGATTGACGTCTTCGTACAATTAGTTTAAAGTGCAGCCGTCTCGCTGGACCAGTCATGAAGATCAAGTCCCAGATTTCCAAATAGTCTTTACCTTTACACAGAGAAAGGTTGAGAATGATGCCTGGTATATACATTACAAGGCGACCTGGTGAGTGACCAGCTGACTGCTTGATAATGTCAACTTGCCGGGAAAGGCCTCTACTGTGCAACTGATAGACCGCAAAGGCTGAGCGAAGGTATAAACTGCTCATACAACAAAACCATTTGCAGAGGGAATGTGTTTGGACCACTAACTCTTGAGCATCTCTAAGGATAATATCTCAAGAATTGAGTAGGAGCTCCGCTTCTGAAACTCAAGGACTTGGCAACGGGTGTCAGTAATCATCGAGACACTCAAGTCCTGCTGTGGTCGGTCAATCATCAGGATCAACACACCACCACTGCACATACTGGAACGAGACGACACATTCGAATCACAGAGCTTAGAAAGAGGATGTAAGAAAAAAAATAAACGGTATCTGGGGTAGGTTCGTCCAGCTGTTTCGAAGGGAGTTGAGTAGATTCAGTTCAGCTAACAAAGAGATATCAAATGGCCGACCAGTGCACACTAATCAATGCCGACAAGGGTCCCCCGCATAGTGAAACTCATGAAGGAGACTATATGAATGACAGTCAGCAAACAACTGGGAACATCCGAAATTGGCTTATGTATCCAGTCAAGCTGAAAAAACTACGATATTCTCACACGATTCAGCAGCAAATCGGTCACCTTCCAGGTGCAAAATAATCCTCGACAGGAAGATCTGCAAGATTGCATAGAAAACGGCAATGTTTGTTTCTTCACCTGACACTAGCAAAAAAACGACATTCTCTTCAGAATCTATGGGCTTTACTTCCAATTAGCATTCCAACTGCTTGAGCCACCGATAGTCCAATTGATTATGAGCAGAATGTACAACCGCCAAGACAATATACACGAATCAATAAAGTGTTCGCATTCCTCAGTGAGTAAACTGGTGTGCAAGAAGCGCTACTGGTATATTAACCATGCCATACGCACTTCACGTGTATGTAAATGAAGGGTACAAAATTGTGAACCACTGAAAGTGAACAAATTTTAGTTTTCTGAGTGGAACTGCGAACTTGCTGCTAATGAGGGCACCGCTGGATTGACCCTCCAAATTTTCTGGAATGTCTATTGTGGTATCTCAGTCTTGTTCATGAATCTTAGAAAGATGCCTCTAGATCATGTCGACCCGTTGCCGCGTCCGCTAGTCCTCCACAGCCCTCATGGTACCTATCATCAATTAAATACGAAGAAAATCAAGGCATATCCCAAACTGGAGACAGAGTACGATTAAAAGTACTAGCTACACTAAATTCAAACCCGTTACAGAGGAAGGTCACCTTGATCACAACCAATAAAAATCAGGATGAAGCGCGAACAGACCCAGACATGACCCATAAGCGAAATGTTTACCAGCAGTGATTCGAAGAAACAAGTGAGCTAACATTATATAGGTATCTCATACATCGACGACATACAAATGCAAGAAATGGTCTATAACATTAACGATATAGAAAAGTAGCAAGGTCTGCGGATGATACAAATTTATCGTATTTCAATGTCGTAGCATCGTTCCGGATCCTAGCCTAACAGATTGGGTTTTCGAAGAAGGTACGGTAGATATTGAGCGCAGACTCTGGGATTGAGTTATAAAAAAAAATCAGTGAAAAACTTGTAAGAAATCCGAGAAAAACAAGAGGTGAAAGACGAATGAACGGAGGGTGACCATCCAGCGGACGATGGTTCGATTAGATTATGCTACTGCGTTGCTCTGTGGCAGATATGTGCAAACCATGCAAAATTCACACAAAATGTCACAGAAATCAAGCCGGGATACATCGAATCTCTTGACAGTCATTACCATACCAAGTTCTTACCATCTATGGATAAGTATCATGGTTCCCTTCACATCTGCACGCACTTGCCTCAATGTTCTTTACCAAAAACCCCCAAAGGGATGTCAGTTTAACGAGTAACCTGTCAGAATAGGCTTGAAACTACTGGATCAACGGACGGATTGAGGAACGGCGGAACTGGACATTAAGTAATCTAAGCGTGGCCTAATTACAATAAGATATTACCTGAGGACAACAAGGTTCACTTGTCACGTTTTTCCAAGTTTAGAAATATAATTTTTCAAGTCATTAGCTGTGGAACAGGAACACAACTAAAACACTGGTTGGTCCCAGTGATGGCAACGCGATAAGCAAAGTAAACGCAAGCAATAAATATTTCCACGACTTGAATACAGTGAATCCAGTCATAACACAACTTTGAAGGTGTAATAGTTCAGTTGGGGGAAGGTCTGTATGGACTTTTCTCTTGCCCATTGTTCCGTGAATCGTACTAAACTTCAAGCATATCCTCATGTGCTGGAAAAATAAGCTGCCAACGACCAGAAATGAAACCAGATCATCACTTACAAAAAAGTTTAGCTCCATCACTCTCACTTCCCAAGCCACGAAGTATGGGGAATCAGGAAGCACACTTCGAAAACATTTCATGGCAAAACATTTCATGGCGACCGATATCACTGTAGCATCTTCCTGGAATTCAAGACCCATAAGCCTGTGAATCCTGAACTAACATCACTCCCAGGCCACAAAAAATTGGTAATCGCAACAGGAATATGCAAGAGGAGGGATTAGACGGGCGAGGATATGATACTTCTCCAATTGTACAAGAATACTAATCGTATGACAGCATCGTTGACAATCAACTGATATCGGAGAATCCCTACGTGAATCCACCGTACGACCAACGATCCCTCAAATTGCAGGATTTGACCCAAAAATCCTGCAATTGAAGAGCAACGCCTGCAGATACCATTCAAGAACAGAGAAAAACAAATTTTACACAAGTTTAAGAAAAAAGGCATACCGAGATAGCGCTTGTTGTTAGAGGTCTTCGCATCCTCAATTAGCTTATCAAGCTGAACCTGTAAATGATCCTCCCACTTCACCACAGCATTTCCGAAGGCACTCCCCAATCCCATTGCCAATACATGCTCCCACGGATCTGCGCTCGCATCGAACGACTCATCCTCAAAACCACAGGACCAAAACTCGTGGCCCGAATCAGCGCAACGCGAATCATGTAAACCATCGAGAGAGCAAACCCTAAGCTTATGATCAGCTGAATCTCATCAAAACCTCACCCGAAACAAAAGAAACATCAATTCATCACCCGATCGGTGAGATTGAGGGAATATCAACCACCCGAGAAAGGAAAAGAAGAGCGACCAGTGGAGAAAACGTACGACGCATCAGTGGAAGCTTGCGCACTCCGTTCGAATAGAGCTGCACGAACAAGCCCATGCCCGCCCCGAGCAGTCCTGCAGTGGTCACCATCTTTCCTCCTCCTCTCTTCACGCGATTATCAGCACCGAAGGAACGCCGAAAGCACGTATAACGAGACGAGCACAAAGGGATGAGTGAGTTTGGGACCAACACTGACCAAGACTTGTGATATGTGAGAGCAACTTAATGAAACCAAACTCTCTGTGACAGAACAGTGGCACTAGTACGCACACAAATCTTCGGATGGCCACAACAGCCTTTCCGGAGGTATCTGGGCCCTCTTGTGCAAGGCCAGGACAGAACTCTCCAACACTCTAATAATGACCTCTCCGCGCAGACTGCGGAACTGTTTTCCTGAGTTGCTTTCGCAGTTTTGCCCGAACCATCAACTGCACTCTACTTCACGCTGCCTTTCACGGACGGCTTAGTGAGTTGTTTCTAGTGAAATCTAAAGTTGGAGATTCAACACTTTAATGAGAGTTTTATGAGCTGCAGTTGGATGTGGATGCATGATCGTTCATCGTGACAGACTCGACGTTTCATAAGATGTGACAAATTTTGAGTGAGGTACGGTTAAGCTTGTATCCAGTGGATTCTGTCTAATCAGTATCTGAATGGATCGTTGGTGGATAGTTTGTATTACTCGCAGCAAGACGCTCGAGTCCAGTGGCTAATTGAGTGATCCGATTTTCAGGCCAAACAACAACAAAATAGTCTGAAAAAACGGCTACTCAGATCGTCACAGTTGGTACGTTGAAAGGCGAGGCCACCTCAAGTCCCGATTAGAGCTGCTGTCTCAGTCCTGGAGGGCCCAGTTGTCTAAGGTGTCCTCTGATTTCAATGCTAAGGTTCTTGCGTTTTTTGGCACTCATGAGATCTTCATCAAGCGAGGGGGTCTAAACCATTACAATCATCGAGTAATTTTGGTGCTTATCTGCTCATCAGGGTTTTGAAAGACTAGAGCAAGGAAAAATGGGAAGTTGAGGGAGTAAATGCACACAAATTCATTGTCAGCACGTATTTTCACATTGATTGTGAATGTCTTGTCCATGGCAAGTCTTACATCAATGCCACTAAACAACGCCTTGAGCTCGGCTCAGGTACTGAGTACAAAACGTACATAAACAAGGGAAATAAGGACAATCTATGGCAAAGGGGAGATCTCAACAGCCTTCTTACTTTTTGCAGTTTCGAATCACTAGCCAGAGAAAAAATAAATGCACGTCGATAAGAACAGTTCTTACTTTGTGATTTTGAATTATGTGTCATTTAGGCTGCATAGGTGGCACGGATGAGTTGGCGCAAAGAAGGAAAGTACAATGCTGACAGAATGAATGTCACTAAGATAACTACCACAAGAGAAGTTCCACACTCAGGCAAGAGCAAAAAGACAAAAGCGACATTGACAGAATGTAGAAAGAAATTGGTTTCGGCAACACCGCAGAGGTAAAGGATCTAATCACAAAGCGAACTTGTTTGACGCTTACTGCTGCTAAGCTGCAAGGCTATCCCCGGCTAATTGCACAAGATACCTTTGAACAGTAGAGATCGTCTGTCATGGACAACGCTCCAGAACGTTCCTAAACCCTAAATGTTCCATACAATTACATCCCACCTCATGACTCAATTTGCAGCTCATATTCTTGATAAAAATATTCCAGTTGATAGTCTTGACTTGTCTCGTAAGCTTCAGGCACCGAGTTTTTTAAAAGCGCCTGTTTACACCTCATTAAAAACATGTCCTGTCTCACGACTATCAGCAGCTATTGGATCAAGCTTCATGTACAAAATATTGCGTGATAGGAGAGGCTTGATGTAAAACCCATGAATGGCGGAAAGTACGATGGAGGATTCAACTTGAAATATGCAGGGGCAGACTCAAACATCTGGAGATCATAATGTACAACCAGACAGAACATATGACCTGCCCGCTTGATTTATTAGCTGCACCCCATCTGTTCCTAGCAAAATCAAACGGGGCAATTCTACATGCAAGGGGCAGCTAACGAGACCTATCAATCTCTTGGTGGACCCTTCTTTGCCGCTTCTGCGGCTGCTTTCTCAGTTTCTATCCCAGCAACAATTTCTTCCACTTCAGATTCTTCCAATAGCCGTAGACCTTCGTTCTTTGTCATAACGGCAATTTCTATATTCTTACCTCCGCTCTCCACCACCTGCCACAATATTGATACAGAATCAGTATTCCACTACACATGAAGTAAACCATTAGCCCCATGCATAGAGTATTTATGTTTGTGTCGGTGAACTTTCTATATGATCGACAAAACAATTTTCAACAACTCTCTAGATCAAGGATCCAGGTCCAACTTTTCTTCTCTTGAGATATTTGAGAGCAATTCTTTGAACGGACGACAGTATTATTCAGGCAACGAGACATGCACTTTTATGAGCAAAATAATGATACGTTTCAGCAACATAAGATGTACCATTTGCAAAAAGGTTGTAACAACTCCCCAAAAAAGGTAAGCACTTGGGTAAAAAAGGGAAACTCAAGCAATGTAAGTGTCAATATTAGCCGGCATGTGTTTCATTATCCACGTTCTCTTTGAAAAGTGATCAATTACCGATAGGTATGGCCGGTAGATTGCTTCAATTTAACTCAATTGACACTCAAAGGATATCCTGGACATAAAGCTCTATTGATCAGTTGACGGAGGCGCACAAGGAATATGAGCAAGCATGGCCAGGCCACTCCCCTCTTGTGTTTGTTGTGGTGCTAGGGATATGATGGAAATGGTTCAAACCTGAAACCGTCTTTACTTAGAGATCTACGTCTTAATAATCCTCACGACAATTAGACAACAAAATTCCCGATTAAAAGTTAAACATATCTTTAAAAAGTCAAAGAGGATAGCTGAAGACGACCAAAGTATCAGTTAAAGGTTCACTTGTTGCTTGACAAGTTATGATAGAAAGTAGCGAAAGCATCTCGTAGCTGGCACTAGCAGGTAGCACTGTGGAGTCCGTGAAGGTATACCTACCCAGAACTAAAGAAAAGGGCCTGCGCATATACCCTGCCTAGGCCGACTTGTTCCTAATGCTCGCCTTCGGAACATGCCATCATGAAAAAATTCTTTCCCGGGATTTCGTCATCTTTCTGTTCATCTTTCTAGACAACCTATTGAGAGCATGCATAACAGTGAGAATTCTCCCTTACTCTATAATACCGGTGTATAATTCTGTTGGCAAATGCCAGGATGACTTCCAAGTTGTGTCACTACTGTAGCAGCCAGATTTGAAAAAGAGAAGAAACATTTAAATTGTTATGAAAGGTGGCCGATGATCAGTTAAGATACTCCACAAGACCTACAAAACACAAACTGGACAGACTGTCATATTCAGAAATTAATAACTCCAAGTTATAGATGATCCACATGGATATTAACCGTCAAGACTAGGGAGCTTTCAAGCGTGTAGTGTATTGTTCGAGATATAATGAACCGTAAAAGACAGCTCATAGAACTAAGACCTGCTCCAATTCGTAGAAGAGCTTCCCCAAGACAAACTACAGGCAGCAGACCTAGCCATGAGTTAGTGATCTTAAATTTGTTTGTTGCAAAATTTGGTTCATTATAAAACACATGTGCTCTTCCGGACTTTTCCAACCCTTCATTCTTCCAGCACTAGTAAAATGACAATTCTTCACGTGACAGACATGATCAAAAACCTACTGTCGAAATCTGTAAATATGCGGCCTGGTGATTATCATTGCGAAGTTTCCAGCATACAGTCCAATTAGACCAAGGCATCGCAGGGGGGTCCTCAAGTCTTTTGACAGCGAACTATGGGTGTGTCTTTGGAGGGATCCACGGAAGGAGCTCGACGAATATCACCCTTATAGACAAAAAGCTTCATGACCTACTAACGCAGACCAAACAATCTGAAAACCCTCTTTCCAATCTAGCACATAATTTTGCTTAAATAAGTCAAGTTCATCAAAATTCTGTAATCATTGGCCCTTTGTTACTGTTTAGAATAAACAAATAGGATGACCGGTCAAGGGTGGGAGGAAAGTTAAGTCACTTACTTCAAGAAGAGCACGGACGGCAAGCTTCACGGTCTCTTTCCCCGAGGTTTCTGTATAATTCTTCTCCAAAAATTCACGAACAGACTTCGAGTTACGCCCTGTTGCATTCGCTTTCCATGCTTTGAAAGTTCCGGAGGGATCCGTTTGATATAGAGAAGGCACGCCAGTGTACGGATCAAATCCTACAATGAGGGTTGATATTCCAAACGGTCTTACTCCACCACTTTGTGTGTACTTTTGTTGCAACCCTGCGATGAAGCGAGTGATGTACTCTACAGTAACTGGATCTTCCACGGTAAGTCTATGACTCTGGCACTCGACACGAGCTCTATTCACCAAAACTCGAGCATCGGCAGTGAGTCCTGCAAAGGCTAGTGAGATGTGATCATCCACTTTGAGAATTTTTCTCACGGTTCTGAAGAACCCCACAAAAGTAAGCTGATGTCAGAGGCAAGATTCTCAAAAATGTTGTCTCTATAGTCGCCAAAGACGGATAAAGAAAGGCCCGCGCAATCGAAATATCATACCCTCAATTCTGCATGCACAAGACTCGGGCAACCAGAAAAAACACTCAACATCTCCGAGCAAGAAATTACAAGAGACCAAACACAGTACAGCATTTGGAAGGGCCGTGCCATCAGTGCAGACCTAGCATCTTCAAGCTTGGCTGTCGATTTTTTCTCAACTCCGAGAACGATGGTATCGGTCCCCCTGACGCCTACAGCAGCATTACCCTTGCGCACGGCCTCGAGGGCGTACTCCACTTGAAAGAGATGTCCGTCAGGAGAAAAAACCGTAATTGCTCGATCATACCTCGCCATCTCTCGTCACAAGCCTAAACCCTGAGTTCGGGAGTTGTGCACGATCGAACAAACAATCTGAAAACTGACTTCCCTGAGACGATCGTCGGAGGCGAGATGCAAATGTGGACGAACGAAGGACAGGAAACCAGCTCAAGCTCAAGCTCCTGCTCCTGTGCTCCCGAGACCTCTGCCTGACTCGTCGTGCAGGAGAGAGCAAGCGTATGGGCAAAGTTTGATTTTAGGTCCGTCCCGCTTCGCACCACGTAACTCTCGGGCTCACGTCCTCTTGCCCTACTACGTCACTCTTCCAACCTCGTAGTTTGTGAGTTCTGAGTTTTAGGCGGTCGATCGAGAGCTCGACACCAAGAAATACAGCCCTCTACTGCTTAAGGGATTATATTTTCTTCTGCCATTTGAATTTAGGTCTAGAAATGTGGTTGACAGTGCCTGGTCTTCACTTTCATAATCCCATATTCCCTGCTTAGTGAGTGTTTGACTTGTAATGTGTTTTTCAGCCTTTTGATCCTTTGGGTCTTGCGGGCTTGATCTTTTTACCATTTATAATATACCAGTACGTAATCCAATCGAGCTTGCGTGTCCTTCTTCATTTTTTTCCTTATTTCTCTTTAGAAATTATATGAGAGACCGTTTCATACCATGGATGTTCTATTACACTATCTCTCACTTCTACGGTGATCTTGGATCTTTGCACTTGACTTAATACTTGCTGCTGTGCTGGAATATGTTCAGGATGAATTGTCGATCATACTCATTTTCTCCTTTTAGTTTCGACGATGTTACTGGCTGGTACGTTACGAAGTGAGGCCTTTACCGATTCGCACATAACGTTCGGGAATGCGTTTTTTTCTAACTCCGTACGTGGTTTCTTCATGCCCTTTTCTCTCAAAATAGATCAAAATGGAGTATTAGTGAGGTACATACTACCTTAGTTAAGGAATTTTTTCTATATTGAGGTTAGCAAATTTAATTTTTATGAAGGGAACGAACTTATGAAGCGAGGAAAAACAACAAAAGCAGGCCTGCTTAACTAAAAATAAGTCGATGGACTGATAAATTAGTTGATAACTACATATGAAGTAATAACCAATACATAACTAAATGACTGGAACTTCATTCACTTCTGACATGTACATTATATCCTGCTTCATTGGGAAAATACCGAAAAAGGAAATTCTAACTTAATTCCGAATACAGTCTTGGTATTACTAAATTAATTATTTAAGCGTCACATCACCTATGTAGATGGAACATTTTAATTCGAGTTGAGATAGCCGATAATTGGTACTTGAGTAAATCAAGCGTAGTACAAAGTGTGTAATACCCAGGAAGTAACTCCCAGGTGACCTACAACTAAATGTCCTTGACTTTTGCTCAAAGCACCATCTTACGCTGATTATGTTTCAACATTTCTGGAAAAGAGTTCTGTACATTCGCTCAATGTAAATCTACTCAATTCTGCACATTCTACTCAATTTATTCAACATATATGTATATGAATCGTGATTTTAGAAACTTTAAGCAATAAAATATCAAAAAATGCATCAACAAGAACTTTATTAATCTTGAAGTGAGAGCATGGACGTTTAATGCTTCAAATTAAGTTTCTTCATACATTTTCACCCATATGCAAGAAAGCTATACTTGATACAATAATGTTACTCATTCCAAAAGTTGGGAATAAAAAATAAAATCAATCCATAAAAATTTCATTCATAAATTTCAGCGCACATTACTTAGATTGTGTAAGAAACAAATTTTATTTCAAGTTGACAAGTTTTTCTTCGCATACCTAAGTGATAGAGTTTACAAGTCAGCGGCGCAAATAATACGGTGCCTTAGTGACTCTTATCCATTGTTGGAGAAGGGAAGCACACCCCATTTTAATAAAGATTGATAAGACAGTTGATTTTAATCAGAACCTTGTAGAAAAAATATTTCATTCTTAGCTCACAACAATATTTTTTAAATTCTATGTAACTTCAAAAGTATTTCTTAGACATTTCCTTCAAATTTTTTGACAACACACACTCAAATATAGATCAATTAAGGTAAACAATATATAAATACACACACAAGAGAAAAGGGAACGAAGATACGTTTTCACTCTTGAGCTAAGCAATCTCACTCCTATTCTACTTCAATGTAAGTAGCAATATTATTCATAGAAAAAGCACTAGTCAGCGACAAATCAACATACGTATGTATCAAAGGGGACCCAACATATCAAGAACAGTTTCCAAAACTTTCATTTGGAGGAGTGAAAGAAAGTATAGTCTTATTTCACATCCCAGTCTTTCCAACATCTACTACTAAAGAGATGTTTCGCTGATGCAGAATTCGCTTACATCTCTACCCTTTGGACGCTCGTAGAACTTCCAAACATGAATCGATTGATCCAAGTACAGTATGGCACTTATCAGAAATGGTGTTTCTCCAAATCATGCCGTAAAATCAGTAAAATAAGTTTTGCCGGAATCAGTTAGCTGTCCTCTTCATGTTAGGCAATGTGGGATACAGTATGTGCAAGTATGAGGAAAACAGGACTGCAAATCCGTACAAGTAAAATGAAGGAAGGAAGTGAAGCTCAGGAAAAGAAGCAAGTGCCCTGTCACAATGTCTTGTCCACTGCTGTATACTGCAGTACACTATGGAACGACAAAAACCCTAAACCCCCCACGGTGGGTAGTTCGAGGGACCTGCATCGATGTGGGCTGACGCAGTTGTTAAATACTGTACAATGGACATGGTTCCCAAATTGAAATCAATTGTGCATCCATCCATCATTTCAGACCTCTCTCTCTACTCTGTTATATCCGGAGTTCGGCTCGGAGCTCGCAGGTTGGCGTTGTTGTCGTTGCTGCAGGGAGGAAGCAGCAGAGTTTGTGTTTTTGAAATTGGGGCGAGCTAGGATTGTGGTGCGGTTTGTGTGATTCGACGACAATGATTTGGCCCTTGCTAGAGGATACAATACGGAAAGGGGACAAATTGATACAAGATGGTGACTTATTGATAGTGTACGAGAGTCACAAGCAGATGAAGGCTGTGACAGTTTCAAAAGGCGGGGAATTTCAGAATCGTTACGGGCTTTTTGCGCACAATGACTGGATTGGGAAACCATTTGGTTCTAAAGTCACAGGGAAGAAAGGCGGGTTTGTGCACCTCCTGGCACCATCACCTCAGCTGTGGACTCTTGTCTTGACACACAGGACCCAAATTCTGTACATAATGGATATCAGTTTCGTATTAGCTTACTTAGAGGTAAGGCCTGGTTGTGTGGTTATGGAATCCGGAACTGGAAGTGGATCACTCACCACAGCCCTAGCCAGAGCTGCTGCTCCTACTGGTCATATATACTCTTTTGATTTCCACGAACAGCGTGCCGAAGCTGCCAGGTGAACCATCGACCTTCTAGCCAATTTTGCTGATTATTTGATTAAAACTGGCTAATCATCCACAGTGAAAGTAAGCTAATTGGTGGGAAGATATATTACCCTTTGTCCAAGAAGTCTAAAGTTAAGAGCTGGGCAGTTCATAGTTCCTAGTGTGTACTCTGTGTCACTTTCTAAGGTTTTTAAGCCGTGGATGTTCTCTTTAGTATCGCTCGCTCGTGCATTGAAGCATCTTAGTGTTCAACCTATTAATCTCCACCAATACACAGTGATAAGCATTCGACCATTCGTTGTGAGAAAATCGATCATTCGTTATTTCACCTTAAACTGTTCAGCTATCTATCAAGTGCAGTGTAACCAGCTGCCTTAGGACGGACGCTTGGTTCAAGCTTCACTTTGAAGTGAACCATGTATGCAGGAGACTTTGCATCTCCACATTTAGGCAAAAGCACCTAAGATCCTTAGGGATGAAATAGTAGACTGCCTGTATTATTAAGATTCTACTGCAACCGTTGCTTGAGCGTTTTGAAAGTCGGTATATGCTCAGTCCCTGCAATCCTTCGAGCGCCTAGAAATTATCTCGAAACTTGCTTTTGAATCAATATTCTTATTTTCCGGGGACCTGGCGTTAGTGTTTACCAAATTTTGTTTTAGTCAGATATTTATATTCTTGTTTCCCGAACTACTTGCTGTAATTATGCTCCTTGAAGGTCGCATGACTCCCTAGTTACAGGTCTATGAAGCCAGTTATGGGCAAACCATGACAATGAGTTCGTTTTATACTATTCGTCGAGCTTCCATGATTTAGTGGTTGTTGCCAGATCTTGTTTTCAGTTACAAGACCTCCCTATCAATTACCATGGAAAATTTTTGTGATATTTTTATGAATGAGAACGAGGTTAGTGTAAATTTCCTCTTACATAAATGTACACGAAATACATATGTATATGGTCTCCACCTTCATCGTTATAGTTGTTGTCTTTATAGCATTGTTTGCAGAGGACCTGTGTCATCTCACAACCTCTCCTCTATCCTACAGAAACGTCTTAGTAATTAGAGCATCATTTTAGTTTTTTCTGATTTCTCTGAATGTACTGATACTTTTGTAAGTTCAGTATGGTTTGATTCGATTCCCTATTTTCAAGTGTATTGCAGTTTATCCTTTTACTTTATGGGTAGTCAACCATGTTAGAGCAATGAGTTTGTCCGGCTCATGAGTACCGCTGAAGGCGACAGATTATCAACATCTTATGAAACTGTTTGAAACAAATGAGTAATTGACCATGAACTTTACGTAAAAATACATTTTAAAGAGAGTTATTTAGACATCATGTCGATAAGCCCTGCCCTGAGTAGCGCGAAGTCCTGAATAGTGGAACACAAGCCTTACTCTCCACTAAGTAACCTTGCCTGACAGATAGGTTGAATGTTTGAATTGGATTTAAGGATTACTGACTACTTATTACTTCTTGCCGGCCCTTATGGTTAACATTTACAGAGTGGGTCTCACATAGCAAAGCTTTATATTGTAGTCTGTCAGTTTTGGGTGATTGTAATATGAAGGTGTGATATGTGCTTATTTTATGTTATTACTTGGACTTATCTTATTGCATAAATTGTTCTTCAGTTTAATAATTGTACTGATTTTAGTTGTCTTTGATCATCGCACAGAAAAGACTTTGAGAGGATCGGGTTGAGTAACTTCATTACTGTAACCGTGAGAGACACACAAGGGGAAGGTTTTCCTGAAGAGTTTGCAAACGAAGTGGACGCCGTATTCTTGGACCTGCCTCAACCGTGGTTGGTCATACCTTCGGTAGCCAAATCATTGCGAGCAGACTCTCCAGTTTGCTCTTTTTCACCTTGCATGGAGCAGGTCCAGCGCACTTGTGAAGCGTTGACAACGACCGAGTTTAGAGGTACGAGAATCTACACAACCGTACACGCGCATTTTGAGCCCATTAAATAAGCTCATTCTTCGTTATCATCAGGCTTTGGTATTTTATTTCTCGTTTTGTACTGAAGTACTATGAAGGAAGTTCCATCTTCAGGCTGTTAGCCCTTCTAGTTACGTTCGACTCGCGGCTTTAAATAACGATAATCACTCTAAGTAACTGCTGTTGCTTGATTTGGTGTAACTAGTTCCTTGAATAGGAGATATGCAATGCGTTTTTATAATGTTTTCTTTTGAATTTGAATATATGTCTAACAACTCATTTATTATACTATGCTCATAGATTTGAGAACTTTCGAGGTGCTGGTGCGCACATACGAAACGCATGAAGAGTATTTCGGCACGGACATTGGTTTAGACATCGTCAACAATGAGATAGAAGATGCTACGCTTCATACTCCAGGAAGTTCACCTCCTCATAAGCGTTTATGCCCCACGGAAATGAAAACCACGAGTGCTGAGGAAAAAACTACATCTAACAAAAGTGAGGTGAGTGGAAAAGACAATTGGATGAAAAAAGGTCCAAAGAAAGGAAGAGGTAGGGGAGAGCAGCCACAAGGATCCAAATGTTCAATAGTGGCTCGACCGGAGGCAGAAGCCAAGGGCCATACTGGTTATCTCACTTTTGCTAGACGAGCAGTGTAGATCATCATCATTGGAGTTCTCTTTTTCGAAATAAAATCAATCCAAAATTTTTGTGTACTTATTAGGTTGTCAGGTTTTTGCTTTCCCTCTGTTCGTCGGTTTTGTATCGAGTACTTATGAATAATTACTCTTTCCAAGTTATCTTTATTGCCGGAGAGTTTCATTGGCTTGTGAAATTGAATCATGATAAATAGTTGACATCCCGTTGAGAACTGTGTGTAGTGTTCAAACATAGGTTGCCGTGGGCTTTCCTAATGAACTGTACTGACCATACTCTGGAGACAAGCTACGATCAACTGCTGAATCCAATTTTGTGCTGGGAGCATAGACTTCAGTGGATGTAGATTTTTATGTTGCAGGGCAACTTTTGTGAGAGACTGTTTCAAATACGAGGTTAGTTGGCGAATCGTGAGTTTCTTCCTGCAACGTTCCGTCGTCCTTTTTGTTTATAACAACTTTTCCTCATCTGTATTATCTGCTGATGCTTAGTTTTTCTATATAAGTCCATCTGCTGCTGGCACAGAGTTGGCCGATGCTTGATCCTCAGATACAGATAGTGCATATTCTCTGTGAAAAGTCGTTGGAAAGTCGTATGTCACTAACCATTTCTGAAATTGTAGGTCAAATCTGGCTTACTTGAACCGGGTGAACATCATTGAGAGATAATTTTACAGGGCCTGTTGTAAAGTTTGATGTGAATTGCATGGAAATGTTGTGTGCTAGTAAATTTTTAATCAAATTCTCGAAATTCACCGTTGTACAAAATCGCATATCGAAGCATGGTAATGATCTTGGGATTGACTTTACTCATGCAGGACCCACCATTTCTTTACAAAAGTAACGTGTGATTTGACATTTGTCCTCCCTTTCTCAGGTCTCTAATTAGTGCCTACGATGGAGAGTGCTGATCTGCATAAGTTTGCCTCTGATGGATGCTCTCGTCTTTGGTGGTGGTAGTCCAGGTTTTCCAGCTTTCTCTCTCTGAATAGGGTATATGTTCTCGTCGAAATGTGTTTGGCTACAAAGCTAATAATATACAATCAGGCGATTAGGCGATTGTGTTTGTATGGACCAGAGGCTTAGCATTTACGATCTTGTGAAGTTTTGAAATGATCCTAGTCGCTCCAGCTGCCAGATGGCCTCCTTCTAGAAAAGGAAGAAGCCGATAACGTTCTGACGTAGAAGCGCGACATGACTGCATTTCATGCTCACTTGTGAAGTGCATGTGGAGCAGAGTTATCGACTCAAACCTTGACCAAACATGTCGTTTGAGGGTTCAGAAAATATAACACCTCGGTTGCAAATAGGTTCTACGTCATGTTATAATTCGATAGGGTCTTCTTTGTCCACGCCTCTTCCACTTCGGGTTGTTTGAACCCGTCCGTCTCAGTTTCTTACAGGAGAGCTTTCATCCTGCAATCCAACCTGATAAGATTGCTTGGGTATGCTTTAAACATACCGTCTTCAAAAACCATGCACACTGAAGGGGTTCGTGCAGGATTTTTTTTCTGGAAGCGCAAATTCCACATTTCCATTACCAATCCGTGTTCTTTTCAAGACTTGCAACCTGTTGATGAAACTGGGTTGAACTGCATTAACTTTGAAGAGGGGATGTGTATACAACTGAGCTTCTCTTGGATAATCTGTGGGTCCTCGGTTTGTAATCAAGCAGGCACGCTCTCATGCCTTCACATACTTTTTCCATGCCCTCACAGACTGCAATCAGTTTATCGACAGAGTCTTGCAGCTTCTTGTGCTGCTCCTCTATCAAATCAATGCGCCTGGCTAGCCCTGCCAGGTTCTGCTTTGACAGAGCCAGTGCCTGCGCATCTCGACCTGGGTCGCCCTTGCGCGATTCACTTTGTACGAACAGATGATCCACACGCGTTACCAGCCTCTCCAAGCGCTCATTGAGGGTCAAAAAGACTTGTGCTATTCCTGCCATGAAAACCCGCTACTTCTCCGGCCTGCCCAAGGCAACCGTTAGTGGTCTAACCTCTAACACCGTCCTCTAAATCTTCGCTGTGCCCATGGCTTTGTGACCACCTTCCTTCCCTGATTCGGGGAATCCATACCTCCCCGTTCTGTCAAATTCTACTTCGCGGCTCCGAGTTTTTCTCACTGTACCGATTTCACTCATCTTGCAGGTTGCCGTACCTGCGTGGAGATTGCTCTTTCGCAGGGAGCGCAGCAGCAGCAGCAGCAGCGCCAGGACAACACGGTTCTCCCAACGAGCCCTGTCCTGCCCCGCTGTCCCTGGTCCCTCTTGTGTCTTGACCCCTCATCGAACTCGTGGAAACGAACCATTCGGGGAAGTATGCATCAACCGTCACAATCCTTCGTCCCGCGCTCATTTGCCGATTCAGTAGGCATCGCAGAGCAAGGATTCCCCACAGAACCGACTTTTGTCAGTGACCCTTTCTCTTCACTGAACCTCACTTCCGAAACGTCTCTGCCACAACCCAAATCTGAAACATAAAGCCGAGCAATTTCCCCTCCGCCGACTGAGGTCTAGAAATTGGTTCTTCGCCGCGACCTTTTAGCAAGTTGATTCCATTCTTCGATGCTCCCACGTGGAATGGGGCAACTTGTCCTCGTGGCGAATCAGCGAGCTTATTAAACCCACAATGTTCCACACCACGGACCACCTACCGCGCGACGACCGACCGTATACTGGGCTGTCTCTGTGGGGAGATCTCTGTCAGGCCTACGTAGATGCCAAGCGTCTACCCATACGAAGACACTAGGACACGCCGGGATGTCCATGAGAGCTCTGATTGGCCGAGCGATGGCGTCGCCAACGACGCCGACTTCCGAGTCTCGGCCTGTAATGGAATGGCGATTGTGGATCAGGCGTCTCCCGTTGCAAGTCGTTCTTGCTGAGAAAGTCGCCCCTCAGTCAGGCTGCAGGGTGTCAGTTACGTTCTTGATTGTGGGTCCCGGGCATGATGACAGGGGGGGACGGTACTCCGCCTTTGTACAATACTGCTGTAACTACAAATTCCAATGATTCCATGTCTCTTCCCCGCAGCAGAGGCCGTCCAGCAAGGGCCCTCCCTCCCTCCCTGGGCCGAAGCTTACAACATGCTTGCTGACATTGCGTGGCCAAGCGTTCATCATTGTACGAATATCGCATCTCCGTCGCTGGGTCGGAACAGGAGTTCCCACTGCCATAAGCGGATTGTCATCATGAATGTCGCGCATCCCATTCCATCGTGGCCCAGTGCGCATGGATCGCTGATTCTCATCATCGTCACACTGCTTTGGTTCGTTTCCTTTCGGGCACATTGGTGTACAAGCCCCTCCACGTAATACATGGCCACAGTTCGTTAATCAAACGCTGTCCAAAATGTTAATGCGACCAATCACATGTTCTTTGCGGGCTTGCCACAAGATTCAGATTCAGCTGCCTAAATTGTAGGCAGCTTGACCCACAGCGAGAGGAGAAGAGGTCGCCAGCCATCTACGAGAGAAGACATGGTTGCCTTTCAGAATGCCCTAGTCTAGGATCTCCATTGCTTGCGAGTACTCTACTGTACATTCTGTAGTGAGTCGGATGATTGAATAAGTTTAACAGTTAACCCAACAGTTGCATGGAAGTGTACTCTTGGAGTAATACTGCTACTGTGAGCAGTGATTGTCTTCTCCTCTGAACGTCAGCTTCGCTGTCGTCGACCAATCGAACCTCGGAGCGGGAGTCTCTGCTCGGGCCTCGGTGTCTATGATGGAAAGGCTAGAGAGAGCCGAGCTACGCTTTCCAGAGTGGTGGGCACATCTTCGCTCTGAGTCTGATGGATGTGAACCTACGTGGTGATTCGAGCCAGCGTAGCTCAGACGTGGATCATTCGGTCAAGCACATCTGCGAAAGTTCGTGGTCGACGAGGTTTATAATAAGTGGCCATGAGTCTCGTTTCGCCTCGTACTCATATCGATGTTCCAAACACCGGAAAACTGATAACGTGGGTCCAGAGTCAAGAGACCTTGTTATCCACTTTAACTTAATGCCATGAGATCCGCTCTCGTACGGATGGTTCAGTGGGTTGCGCCCACTACAGAAATTCTTCCCACCTTGTCACTGAATTCTAGTGCTGTAACAGAATATGTGGAAGCGGACTCGAGCAGCATTTTGTCAGATGTGGTTAGCAGCCGATGTTTTTTTCCGTGGCTTCACGTACGCATATGGTCACAGAGCGAGGATTACAGTAACCCAAGACTGTTCAAACATCAGCATTTTCCATATTTGGCCGTCCACGATATGTTCTCCATTAGCTTCCAAAACTGTTTGGTGGCAATGTACTTCGGTCAAGTAGATGTTTTGATTAAAGCTTCCAATATCCAAACCCCGAGCTCGGTATAGGAGCGTGGTTGAATAAAATTCTCCCCAGGAGAAAGTGAGCATCATGGCAGCAGGAATTCTTCGTGGGGTGCGATACTCTCACTGCAAAGGGAAGAGAACAATCACTCGCCTACAGATCCTACTCAGCTTTCAGATATGAGGGATTTAATGCATACCTTACGTCGAGCTACGCTCGTAGACCATCGGAGGATCGTCGTCGAATATTCGCGCAAGTCACTGCGACGATTCGATCGATCTTCGAGCTCTTTCTTGTCGTGTCCTCGATTAGTCAAATCAAGCCTTGACGGCTTTTTCAGGCGTCTATACTAAAGAATACACTTTCCCGTCCTAGGACGAACGAACAACAGAACGACGAAAAGGTGAAGCTGATTTTCTGGTTGCTGGATTCTATGTTCTTCCTGATTCAGTTTCGCAAGGAGAGCGAGAGGAAGCTTGACCACCAAAAGCGGAAGGGATCTATGGCGAGCTACAGGGCTAAAGACCCCACCCCACAAGAAGAAAAGGTCTTGCTCAACATGGCAAGCCCCAAAAATAAAGCTTCGAAGACGTAGCGATTTCATTTAAAAAAAGAGAAGAAAGAAAGAAAAGGAAAATCTACCGTGCCTCGAAGAGACATGCGGCATTCACGAGGCGAACGCTTAAGCCGAAAGTCAAAAGAATCCAACGCAGACGTATGTGTATGATTTGAGTCAATTTGGGAAAGAATCCAGTAACTTACTCTTCGACCTGCAACGAGTTCCGTATCAATGTTCAAACATTTCATCAAGATTCCGTTTCTTATTATGGACTTTACCAATTCCATTGATGCAGCCGCGAAGAGTCAACGGAACATCAACCTAGACTGCAGCACAAGCTTAACCCTGGAAAGTTGGTTCTCTCTATACCATGATCATGCAGTTTGGATCAGATAGAACACCAGTCTCGGAGCGAAACAGGCGGAGGCGGGCGTCACATGGATCAACTTGGGGAACAATTGCGTTGAGTGGTCCGGCAGCCTCTTCATATGTACGCAAGAGGCAACGTCGAACTTCGTCACATTCAGAAACGAGGCGAAGTGAGCGGCATGTCGTTGCCACTACATGTAGGTCATCATGTCTGGACTTCCTGGAATCATTCCTTCTGTAGGCATGATCACCGATCATGGTTGCAGATTTTTTGTCAAATTTACCAGGCGATCCCAGCTACTTTGGCAGCGCACATGCCAGGCCTCTCTTCTAGTTTCAGACAGGGTACACCTCATGGGGCAAGACTTCAAGCCCCCGTTGCTTACACCTCAGGGCAATGCCGGGGATTAAAGGTGCTTATGCGCGCGAAAGGACTCCAGACGCAAGTATGTTGTCCGTGAAAATAATAATATAAAACGGTTTTGCTAATGTGCAGGTTGCATGGCCTTGCTGTAGGAAGTTTGTGCAATTTGATCATGATGCCGGATTCTCAAGCTGATTCGCGCGAAATGTGGCCTGTTGGGGAGCATGACTCGGAGAAAAGGAGGAGGGTCGTGCTCTATCCCGTTCAGCAGACTTTGCCTCATCCGAACCAGAATGATTGTATTCTTGGGGAGAGGCTGGGTCAGAGAGAGAAGAGAAAACAAAAGGAAAAAAGTGGGGATTCTCTTAGCGACGACCTAATCTGCTGCGGTCATCATCGCGTACGAGTGTGTCGATGCAAGTCAAAACCCTAGAATACGACAGAAAGCAGCAAGAAACCACTGTGCGGCCTATGGAATCCAATCCGGGAGAACGAGGCATAGCCCAGGTGATGTCTGCGCTGGGCCGACGAAGACGGGCAAGGGCAAAGGCGGGGCGGGAGGGAGGAGCTCGCGGGGCGTCGTTTGGTGGTGGTGTGTGTGTGTGCGCGCGTGAGGGAATTCGCGCGAACTCAGTTGACGATGGCCCACCAGCAGCACGTCTGCAGTCGAGCAAAGTAGGAGCGGCGGAATGTTCTCACCTTCGAAGCACCACCAGCAGCCCAGAGGCGCAGAGGCCCAGGCCCACCATGAATCTTACGCTATCGCTACATTTTCTCGTGTTCGGCCTGGAGCAAAAGAAGAAAATAACTAACTCCATCAAATCGCTTCACATCACTCACTGTTCGCAATGTCCACCATCATGACTTCTTCGGCTCCCATTCAATGCCCCCATGTCGAACCAGCTCCAGCCGTCGCGCCAGCCCGGCGCAATCCAAATCAACTACAGTCTCTCTCACAGACGAGCAATTAATTACGCCTCTCTCCTCTCTCCCCTCCCTTTCGCTGTACGTGGTCAAGGCACGGACCATGCGCCAGGGTCACGGTGAGGCACGGATGCGAGCAAGCCGAAGCACAGCACGGCCAGTCGAGCGAGTCCTTTCCTTCCCACACCTCATCACCTGCTCTGCCCTGCCCTCCCCGCATCATCAGGTCGGTGAATCCGTGCGGGGGCGGGGGAGGCGAAATCGAAAGCAGCGACCGAGATCTGTCGACAGGTTCGTTCCAGGCTCGGAGTCGAGGGAGGGAGCTTGAAGCTCACGCAAGTCGATCCTCGAGTCCAGTCCGGTGACTCCAGTTGCAGCAGTCAGAACTGGATTTCCAGGTACGTCCCTGAGCCGAGTGACGATGCAGCGAGTGAGCTATGTCACAGGCTCGTCACTCGCACTCGCACTCGCACTAGTGGAACGCGGAGTCTGTCCTGTCCTCTTCAGTCCCTCTCTCTCTCGGGCAGCTGCTCCTTCTGTTGGAGTTGACGTGCCCTGCTGGCCCCAGATTTACATTCTCGATTAGTCACTGAAATACGGATATCGACTGCCCAATTTTCGACTCAAGCAATCGATTACAATTCACAGCTACATCCGTATTTCCACGCTTTATCCGAGCCATGCTGTGTACAATTTTCGGTACGCCATGAAACAGCAGAAAAACGGCTTTGTGGTAATTCCATGTACATCTCCAGAAAATATCTTCACGTAAAATTTTCAAAGCGTTTCCGATGCGAAATCTTTTCATAAAATACAAGTTCATTCTTTTTTATTTTTTATTTTTAATCCCTTTGATAATGCTCTGAACATCAATGTACAACCTTGTTCTCATATTATCATATATGCGGATAATATTGAATCATATAGGCTATATTTTGGCTTGTTATCTCTCTGTACTTGTAATCTTCGAATATAAATTCAAGATCTGGTCTTCAAGATATGGCCATTGGAGTTTTTAGAGGGTCAACCGTCGATTGAAGTACAACATCCCCTAATGACAAATATATGCATCAATTCATCATATACTCAACACACCCCAAAGCAAGAGAAATATATGCAACGATTTTTTTTATTAAACCATTATATTCTCCAGTCTATCCCTATACGCCTATAACAAAACTCACATATATAAACAGATGTTTCAATATAGCTATAAAAGAGGACTTACGGCAATCCCAGAAATCTAATCATTCACTTGACTTACCGTTTGGGGAGAGAAACTGCAATTTTTTAATTTGTGTGTTTTTCATACAAGCCACTACTTATTCACGACGTGCGGGTTTCACATCAGCCACAAAAGTAAAGCTAATTAAGACGCTGAAGCAGTATTGAGTGATCAAGAATGTAGTGTGCATGGAAGGGAAGGTGATCGTAACGTCCAGATCTCTACAAGGACTCTTTATGTCTACCTGTAACTTGCTGATCTAAAATGCTGACTATTTTTTAAGATGTGGGATTAAAGGGCATTGTAAACTTTAAGTAGGACCTGTATCAACTCCCGCTAGGAGCCTCTGAACGAACCCGTAAGCTGATTCAAGGAGATCCCCGTGTGCAGTATGGGGGAATTGAAAAACCCCATTAATGTAGACATTTAAGAGTTTCAAAAGTATGAGGGTTCGTATTTAGGCATTTGGCATATTATCATACGTCCTTCAAATGGTGTACCTTTTGTAATTCATACAACATAAATACAACTTCTTTTTTGTAGTCTTGTGTTTGGTGGACAATCTTGACTGCTTGCCTTCTGCGCCGGAGTTGCATTATCCAGTAAGAGGAAATTTGCGAGCTCTGTGAAGATTAGTTATGTCCGTCTTGGAGCTAATAGGGAACTGTGTAACGACGGGAAAGCAGGAACCAGGGAAGAAGGTGCTACGAAAGTGGGGCCTGGGCTTCGCTCTGCAGCGGCATCATTCCCTTTGGAGGGAAGACAGGAGTGTAGTGCAGTACTCACAGAGGTCCAGGGGTTCGTCCTCAGCTTTACCAAGCGACAGCGCATTGGCAGAGAGGCGGGCGGAAAGGGCAGCGCAGCGCTGGGAGCAGTAGATTAACGAACAAAGGAGCGCAGAAGAGCGGGCTTTGCGTTCTGTATACGCCCAGCAATCGCTCGCTCAGTTGAGGGTTGGTGCGTACGAGAGCAGCAGTAGCAGCAGCTGATATGGCTTCGCGGTGTATTACATTACTCGGGCGAGAGGTTTCTCTGACACACTGGACGAGGCCATCTGTAAGAATGAGAAAGAGAGAGAGAGAGAGAGAGAAAGACGCAGCGAGCTTCGCTTATAATCTGGTTAGGTCTACTCGGGCTGACAGGCGACAGACTGACTGACATCCTGCCATCCTGCCTGCCTGCCTGCCTGCGCGCCTCGTCTGCGCTGCATATCCTCTTCCGTGCAGTCATTATGGCGCCTCAGTAGGTAACAAAGACTGCGAGTCTGCGACTCGCAGCAGCAAATATTGCATCAATATCTCTACCATTCATGGGATGTACCGCCGCGACTCGCATGCGCGAAATACCCATGCACACGTACCTTTCCTCCGTCGACCTGCGCGCATCGCCATGGCCCTTGCTGGCATCTCCAATGAATGCCGTCCCGAGGTGCGTCCTCTCTTCTGGCGCAACACATTTGACATGTCGGTCCCGCCCGCCGAGTTATCCACTTCCAAATCCAACCTCGGCAATCAATCACGCCCTCGCCGGGACGAGTCGAGTTGAATTGCCGGGACGACCCGCCCTCTCGTCTCCGTACCGGAATGTGAACTGAACCCGCGCCATCGCCATCTCCATCTCGAATCGCTTCTCTCGCTTGCGCCCGCGGCAACTGAGTGTGACGAAAGCGAGGCTCCAGGATCCGATTATTAAACATATAAAACAGCTCTCGGCGACATAATGAGACGCGCCCCTTTTACTCCTCACGGCAGTCCTCGCCTTCAAGTCCCTGCCATGACGTCTTGTCTTGGCGCCCACCACTCCGCAGCCGGCCACCTGGTTGGCCCGCCTCCGACTGCAACCACGCATGCACACGTCGTCGCCACCGGAGCCGAAAGCGAAGCGCGAGTCGACACCGTGAGCGTTCCGTGGACGTAGTGGGGTCTCAGGCGGGCGGCTGGCTGACTGGCTGGCTGACCGGGTGACTGGCTTTCGAAAAATCATACGACCGTGTCGAATCAATGTACAATGATTACCGGCTGACGGCCTTCTTTGCTTCACTTCCCTTGATGCACTTTCGATTGAGGTTCAATTTGGTTTCGACTTTACTAATCTCGGCGCAATGGCCGATAGCCATGAATACAATTAGAATCGTCGCTTGACTCTTGACTTGTCCCCCATCACAGCGTGCATCCCGTTCCTAATTAGACACGATGCCCGCCAGCCGAGGAAACAGCGCGCCAGGTGACTGACTGACTATCCCACGGGCCCAGATTCGAGCCCCTGCGGTCTGTTGCTCGGGCTCGGCACGATGATTTCACCAGCAACGTCGGGCACGACATGCACGCAACACGAAGGTCGAGAGCAAGCACATCCGAGATATGAGAATCATCGTTCTGCACTGGAACGGCAGATTCGACGTCGTGGATGTTGAGGAAGATCGGGACGGTGCGAGTGAGAGAGAGAGAGAGAGAGGGAGTTGGACTGAGCATCGGCAGCGTGGAAGGGAAAATCAGAGATGTATAGAAGCACGGCGCAGGATTTGAGTATGCACCAGATGTTTATTGTTCATAGGATTGGATCTCTTGGCGCGAGTCGCAGACGACGACGTAGCGAGGACAAATGTCTCGCTCGAGCGTCGTGTGCCACAAGCTCAAGAAGTTCTTGGTAGTTCAAATCCATGTAAAACACTCTTGCCACTTTCATTCAGTGAACAAATCGAATCACCATCCAACATGATCAACACCGACTTCGAGCAGCCTTCTCCGACCTCAGGCTGCTGTCATCTACTAGCATTCTTGCAAGACATGATATATGTACTACAGTGTCATGACAGTATCTCGTATCTGATATCCAACGTAGTCCTGACAGACAGAGCTCCAATTATTCTCCCGAATGAACTCAGCCTCCTCGTCCTAAGCTTTACCACACAGTGATCGCGAGGAGGGATTCGACTAATCCTACGCAAAATTGACAAGACAATTTAGTAATAACACCGCTCTGCAAACTGTAGTAAGATATATCTTCTTGAGAAGATATCCTCATCGCTGGCGAGGTGCCGTGAGCTCGAATGCTTGCTCGGCCGAGCTGCCCTAGCACAGCAACCTCTGCTGCGCTGCCAGGCGCGCCGAGGGGATTCCGCCCCCTCTCCGGGACAGACATTCGCTGCCCAGTGCACGCCCAGGCGGGCACGATCGGCGAACCAACCACTCACGTGCAGTCGAAGAGCTCGCCACAATCGATTTCTCTTAATACCATCGGCTGACGAGGAGAAACCGCAATAGGAAAGATATGTACAAACGGTAAGAATGCAACTGCTGATTGACCCACTATTGTGTACAAGCTCTATAGCTATTGCCCGGCCGCGATCGCTGCTTCTGCTCTCAGATTCGCCACTCTCTGCAGTAAACCCTCTATCGAGATGTCGAACGCGTCTCGGTACGAGGGATGCTTGCTGCCCGGTTTCGAGTACAGAAGTCCAGGAATGATGTCGTGAATGATCCTGGTACGCATCGCGGCCCTCTCCTCGGGACTGATACTCTTCAATATTTCAATAATATTTGCTTTTCCCTTCATGACGTGTCTGGACGGGATGTACACCGAGAAGGACTTGGGATCCTCGGGCAGATGCCATGGGTATTGGTAGTACGCGGTGTAAGGATCGAAGAGCACGGGAATGCAGCCTCCGATCAGCGAGTCGAACACCGATCGCCTCGTCGGGCTGTCGCCCGGCGGCTGCATGCAGAAGTGCGAGTGCAAAAACAGGTCCATGGTCGAGTCGGGCCGCAGGCACAGCGTCTTCTCGCACCGCAGCAGGAAGCAATCCTGCGGGCTGTCCAGGCACTGCTGGATCAGATGCCCGCGCACATTGCCCAGCATGTTCGGTCTCGGCATGCCGGCGAACGACACCAGATACCGCCGCTCCGACTTCTCGCAGTGCGATTGCCAGGTCCGGATCTCGTCGTCCGACTTGGGGTGGAAAAACGTCGGATGCGGAACCCCAATGTCGTTCGGATGCCACGGATTCCTCTCGATCAACAGCTTCGTGGGCGGCACCATGGCCGGCAGCTGCAGCAGCTTGCTTCCCCAGTGATCGTTGTCACTCGGCCTGCGGAAATCCCACGAAATCTTCCCCAATACGAGAACGTGATCGATCCCTCCGTTCCTCTTCCACGTCTCCTTGGTTTCCAGCCAGTGCACGAGCTCCCAGGTGAGCGCGTCGCGGTGATCGTTGGTCACATTGTCTGTGAAATGCCAGCGGATCACATCCAGGCCGCCATAATAAGGAATGTAGAACAAGCTGGCCTTGCTCTCGTCGGTCGTCAGGCACGGATAGTTTTTCAGCCGCGCGTGGAAGATGAGCTCCAGCGAGTACTGATGCGTCAAATGCCAGCCCCCGTCCGGGACAAGAACCAATTCATCGTGGCTGTTTCTCTCCTCCGTGGGCACGACCAATCCCATGCCCTCGTTCAGAAAGTAGTCGCAGAAGTTGAACCAGGGCAACAGAGTGTCGCATTGCCCTACAAGATCATCGTTGAACTTTTTCGGCAGGTCGTAAATGTAAATGTATCGACCGTCGCACGAGGGTTGCTCGGGCGCCACGGTACCTTGCGGAGTGCCATCGCGCACGTACAGCGTCTTGTCCTTCGCGGGGTAGATGAAGGGCTGATCCGACGACGTGTTGGGCCCGGGCAGAGCGGATTCCCTCAGGTACCGCATCAATTTTTCCACCTCTGATGCTGCCAGAGTATCCTCGGCAGTCATGTTGTCGTGCTTGAACACCACTTCCTGTTCCGACCTCTCCTCGGCTTCCACCACAATGTGCCTGTACGCAGAGGTCGGCGACGAGGCGTTCCCGTTCCGCTCATCCTGCTCGCTCTGGAGGTGCCTGTTATCCGGGTTGTCATTCCTCATCTCGGACTTGGATCCCTCCTCGTCGGCCAGCGCGCGCAGATCATCCTCGCGGAAGTCCGACAGGTCCAAATCGCCTCCGTCATAGAGCGGAGGCGACTGGCTGGCGGGCTGCGGCTCAATTTTGAAGCATTCGCTCGAGGCTCTGAAGCATTCACTGTCCCCGGGGTTGTCGGAGCCCGCGGCTGTTCCCGATGATCTGGCCTTAACAACTACATCGTGCTTCCCTGCATTTCCCTCGACCGACACTACCTCGGTCGAATCCATCCTGGAAATCGGCTCGGTCGTGGAATCCTCGACTTTGAGAAAATTGTTCCGAAGGACGACATCCTTGATGTAGGAGGTGGTGGGGAAGTTGGCGAGCGAGAGGAAGGCGCTCGTGGCCGGGAAGGGAGAATCATCGGTGCAAGAGATGCACTGCACGTCCTGCGAGAAAGACTGGTGCGAGATGTTGAGCGGGCTGAGAGTGGACGACGTCCATAGACACAAGAACGTCAGTAAACAAAGGGGAGGCACCAGAACCATCCGGTGGAACTTGAGAAATCGGAATCCCGGGAACTGCATCGCGCCCTTCTTCCCTATTGTGGCGGTCTGAGCTGCCCCGCTCCGCGCCTTCGGACCGCAGCTGAGGCGCCGATGATGCTGCTGCTGCTGCTGCTGCTGCTGCTGCAGATGTCGTTCTCGTCGACGATGGTGCTGTCGATGTGCAGGCGTCCCTGGTCGTGGTCGTCAGTCGAATCGGATCACGACGTCCGCTTCAGAGGAGAAATCTCCTGGCAGAAGTAACAGCAGATCGAAAGCAGGAGGCCATCACCAGGCGCAGCAGCGCGAGGAAGTCATACGTCTGCTCTCACTGCCACGAGCACGAGCACGAGCACGAGGCAGACACAAGCATTCCAGACCCCGACGCGAGAATTCGTCAAGACCATTCGTGATGTGATGGTGTCGCAGCTGCAAAGGATCGTCTCGCCCGACGTCCCTGCAATGGACTTCCCAATCACCCGAATACACACTGTCTACGAAGCAAGGTAGATTTGAGCTCTACCTTCGCGCCCCCACAATTCAGGCAATGTGGTTCCAACCGGGCGATTAATGGCACCTTGAGCTTCCTCGCCGAGGCCAGGCCAGGCAAGTCCTGCGGCTTGACCTCTCCGCGCACTAGGCGCCCACGACCTTCAGTCGCGAGCAAACTGCGCTGAAAATGCGAGACGCAAATTCAAAAGAAGGTGCACGCCCACAAAACCACGACCGACAAGAAGTGCGGCGGGCCACCGCTAACGAAGTAGCGTTAGGCAGCAAGTTACAAGCGCAAGTAATTTAAGCCAAGATAGTGGCATGCGCAGGAGCAAGGCACCCATTCAGAGGACTTGCACACTCGTATAATTGTGAGAGAAAGCCGAGCCCCGCACAGAACGTGCCCAAAGGATGCTCGAACAGGAGCCCCGAGCTCCGGAGCGCAGCGGGCCGCGGATACGACATGCGCTGGATGCGGACAAAGAACTCGCACCTCCCCCTCGCCCCCTCCACTTGACTCCACTCCCCTCTCTGCCCTGCTCTACTCATCCTCCTCACTCCGCTTCGTGCTCCACCCGTCCCTCCCCTCTCCCTTCTTAGTCCGCAAAATAGTGCACGCTAAATCTCCGAGCCGTACTTTTCTCCCCTCCTTCTAAATCTAGAATGCACTCCCCCACAACTCGGGGCCATCAGATGCTTCTCTTTCGTCTCTCTCCCTCCTCACGGACAAACAAACGAACGAACCTGAACAGATCATCACCGAGCAGGAGGAGGAGGAGCAGCAGCAGCAGCAACAAGAATACAATGAAATGAGACACAGAGAGAGATGGCATTGGGGTCAGAGACCATCCAACCGACCCAACCCAGACCAGCCCAGCCCAGCTGACCATCAAGTTAAACCGAACCCATAATACCAAACCGAAGTCACTCTCCGAGCTCAACCGGGGCAGCCAGCCTGCCTCCTGTTTGCTTGCTTCGTCTGAGCCTGCCCTCCGCCATCCATCCATCCATTCTACCTCTCTCTCCCTGAGCTTGCTTACGGTGCAGCAGCATCGTAGCAGGCGCCCCGCGAGAGCAGTACACCTACACAATCACTCGCTCACTCACACACACGCAGTCCGTCATCAGGCTTTCGTCAATACTGCAGTCGTGTAGGAGTGAGATCTATCAAGAGGCTATAATAGTTCAATGAGCCTCGCCTGGACTCGTTGTCGTTATCGGCCAGGCACGCTTTTCTGAATCCAACAGGATGAGGCCTCCCCTTCCATCTCTTCGGCTCAGTTCAGATCAGCTCTCTGTTGCGCCCTTTCCCTCTCTCTCTCTCTCTCTCTCTCTGACCATGAATGCCTGTTCGTTTGTACTCCATCGCGATCGACAGCAGCGGCAGCAGTAGCACACTTTTAACAGTCCTGTACCGTAGTCTTACATCCTACAGTTGGACGCCATTGACCACGGGTAGAAGACATGTGGCAAGAGTTGAGTTAAGTTACTGGCCTCGCCTCCGTCGAGGCTAAACGACGACGGTGGTTAACTTGTGGGTGACCACCCACGGTGGTTACTGTGGCGCCAAGGACAGGGAGACGAGACGAGACCAGACCAGTCGACAGATCCGACAAGTCCCGTCGTTACAGAGTTCATCGCACGACGGGAGCTCAGTCGTTAGCTCGGGCCGGTGTCGCTGCGACGGCCGACAAGTCGCGGGCCTCGCAGCCCTATTTTCGGCACTTTTCGGACTTTTCTCACCCCACCAAGAAACCACTCGATGAACCGGGAGACGAACGGAGGTTTCGAACCGAACCGGGAGATTGCATTGGCGGCAATTTTGTCGGCCGGTATCTTGGTTCGTGCCATGATCTTGGAGCGGTTCCATTAGGTTCCAGGGCGAGTGATCTCCGCCGTTGGTAGCGTCGTTTGAGCGCTACGATCCACACCACGTGTTATCTAGAAGATTGGTGTAGAGGGAGGAGAGCACATAGAGGGGTATCTTCCGGGCCCTGGAGACATCAAGCATATGACGGATTCGGTTTGGATGGATGGATCGATGGATGGATGAATGCGTAGATCGATGCAGACAGATGGAACTTCGTCCATCATGTGTTCTCTGGTCGTATACCGCTCTGTTTGGTGGTTTTAATGAATGCTGTAACTTTCATCATGCGTTTTCCCCTCAGACATTCACTCCACATTCCTTTCCCGCTCGTGTCTCAAATGACAGGAAATTACGCTGTAATTCAATTGCAACACGATCAATCTTTCCTCGCCACCGTGCAGATCTTAGAGCACCTTCATAATACCCGGATGCTGTATATCCCGGCGTCCCCTGAACAAAACAAGGTTGCTGCATTCACCACCTTGAAACAATGTCTGTATTTCGACATTCACTTGACTCGATGTAGAGGTTTCTCTTCGTGTTGTCAATGTCAATAAACTTGAACACTGATTCTAAATGGACGAAAAAATTGTGTAAAGTGAAGTAGATAATATAGCGGCATAAAATTTTTTTTAAAAACCCCTACGATAATGAATTTATGTTGTGCACTGATAGTATATCAACCAAGTTCAAAAACGAACTATTACTGTAATACATATTTCTCATATATGATCTGACTTGACATATAAACGCATGTACGCGCTTTGAACAATTCTGCATCCGTTCCTTTAACATATAAATAGTCATCCGTGCACTCCCCAGGAAAACGTGATCGAAAAATTTTATTATTCAGCAACTAGGAACCGAACTATAGCCCCTCTGGAAGACATAAAGATAGAAGTGTCCTTTAGATTGGGCATGGGATAGTTTTCAGAAAGCCGTAAACTTAAATCTTGAATATAGTTACAAATTTTTTGTTTGCATAATGCAGTCACAAAGCAATGATTTATATATATATATATATACCATCCAAACGGTTCTAGAGTTATAAGTTTGATACATATTGAGACTTTGATGGTGAGACGGCATCCTATGAGTTATTCATTCATTATTCAATAGATGTGCATATTTCAACTCGTCTTTCTCATAATACTTCTTTCAAGCAATGAATGATAGGATCATATCTCATAGGTATCTGCATAGAATACTCAATGTAGCGATTTGAGTTCAATTTTAGAAAGATTCTTCCATGGAGCGCACAAAAGAAATCCTTGCATTGAAAGTTGAACCAATTCACTAGACTCAAAACGTAATAACTACATTTGAATGTTTGCAATTCTTGGTTCAAACCATGTCATTAAACGGCGAGGCAGTCATCTGAGAACGATGCGAGAGGGACTTGATATAATCGTCGCAAATGGACGAGTTGCCTTGCGGAGCAAGCAAGATGAAGCACTGCATTGGGACTGGAATGGGTAGGTATAGACATCCCAGGTGTCGTTACGCAATAACCATTCATTTTCTCCTCGGCTGAGGAGGTATGTCGGGCCATGTGTAGTAGGTCCTTCAACTTATCATACCCAAATCAAGTTATGCTAAGAATGTGTGGACTTAATTGCGGTATCCTCATTTAAGAGGCACAACATAGCTTCGAAGAAAACTCCAAATTTAAGGTTCAATCTGTGCGTTATTAACTCCTGAGCTTCAAACTGATCGATCAAAGGGCATCATGATATATGATCTTAACTTCTAAAGGGGGGAGGATGCTTCCTCCCACACAACATCACATGTCTACTTATCACGTCACTATCACCTATACTGTTACTGTGAAGGCAATTGCGCCGGACGCATAAATGACTACTTATATACGCACACCTTGAGTTTGGAACAGGTAATGTAGTCGTTACATTCCATGTTAGTCTTTATGGATGCTCCAAAAGAAGAATATGATGCATCCTCACGGTGTTAAGGACAGTTGAATGAAACCACTTGGAAGTCGTGCTTTCTGTGAAAAATATTGTTGGTGTAAAGTAGCTGATTTGGCTGTTCCAACTTCCGAGAGCCTTAAAAGCTTAAAGTTTGTTGCTATTTAGAACAGAATGTCCAAGACTTCTAAAAGCGGTGGTCTGAAAATAAATTTTATAAATTGGGTCATGGCTGACCGTTTGCTTCATTCTGATTTAGGATATCAATTTTCAACGACTCTTTTCATTAACAAGTTTAAAATCGTTCATTATTATTAATATTAAACCAAAGTACTTACTCAATTCCAACCTTACGAGATCCCATTCTATGTCTAGCTATAATACAACTTGAGTACATGATATTTCTTGTAAATAATTATCTGGTTCCCAATAAAAAAAACATAGCATTGATATGAAATTGATAAAACTGCATCGTGATGCCTTGCTTGCTCCAAATAATCAGTATATAAATTTTCAACAACTCTTTTCATTAACAAGTTCAAAATCGTTTGCAGTGGAAGAATTTGCCTCAGATCACTCAAGCATGCCAGAGCTTCAGTATTTAAAGAGAAGATTCTCAGATTTTAGAAGATAGTTCACACGCAAAGGAGGATATTAACCGGAAATTTGCACTCGTGGATGGTAGATGCGAAGAAGGGAGTGCGTCTTTGCGTGGAGGAAGGAGATTCACGTCAATGATGAAGGTTTTGTCTGCTCTGCTTCTCTCACTCGTATGGCTTTTGATGTCCTCAAATGCCGAAGTCTGAGGATTCAGTGGGTTCTTTCTTCTTTCTTGTCACATACAATTGAGTTTCTACCCTTCTCACTCATGTCCTGTGTTGGCTGAGACCTTTTTCAGTTTTTCAGTTGTGACATATTGTGAATCTCGCTACGTGGTTTGATTGCCCACATCATTCGATCCGATTCACTTATGTCTCATATGTCACCTCAGTCTGGGACATCTCTTTATGTTGTTTTCAGCCTGTTTATGGCCCCACCTTTTGGTATTGTTCCCACCGACTCCTGCTCGGTAATCTCCGTCTTTGTCTTGTAGTGTGAACCCGAAAAATGCAAAAGCTCACATCATCATTCCGTGCAATGAAGTCTTTTTTATGCATACTGTCACTTTCTCGCCAACTTTGGTCACTGGAGGACCATGGTAGGCATTCATCGTTGAGACGAGCTTCCCTTAGAGCAAGGGAAGGATGCTTGTTTGTGTGCAAGGCACTGCACTAGTTAGCTACAACAGTGCATGAAATATAGGTACCATAAATAGCTTGGAAACTGAGGAGAAGGAGATGGATGTACTTGACAGAAGATGTGATTTGAGCGCCATCTGGACAAGGGAGAATCAGCACAGCGTCGCACCTGTCCAATGATCTTCAGTCATCACTGTGAGTATGATTCCCACGAGTCATGAGTGGGTCTCGGGGTGTCAGAAATTCATTTGAAAGTCATTCGGATCGAGGCACTTTGCACCGGAAAATTTCACACAAAACGAGTACTTAATGAGGTTCTACTTACGGGCTGCTGCGCAGGGCCGGGCTGTCACTGCGTTCATATGGATCCCATCCTTTCGTCCGAGTACGGCCCTGGACGGACGATGACGAGGTAGATATTCCGCGAAATGAAGAGGTATCGTGAGCGGAGACCCGAGCACACTCCACCCTTGAAACGATGAGATATCACATCGCGATCATGAAATG